CGAAAGTTAGATGGGTGTCGACACTTACGGTAAAGCGCTTTCTAAAATAATTTTCAGGTGTGTAATCCCTACTTCTAGCTAGGATACTTAAGAGCAACTATCAAAAATATAGCTATCCAAGAACCGGCACTACGAGGAAATAAGAAGTGCTCACGGGGCTAAACAGTTTAATTTAGAGCCAGTACTAACATTTTTTCCAGGCCCTAAGTTATATGCGCTATTACGCACCACTACGAGAGGGGCCAGAGCAAAAGAAGGAACGCCACTGCTGCGTCGGTCACAAGAGATTTTTGTGAAGCGAAAGATTTAGGTTTATCTTGCAATGATCATTACCCTTACATTGCGCTAAATAACGCACCTTTGGCGGCAGCGCACACTCTCCTCATTACTGCGTGTCTATGAAGACACATGATCGGTAGAGTAAAAATAAAAGTGCACAAATTTTTCAAATGAGTATGAACTGTTTTATGCGTGTTCTAGATAATGTGTGTGTGTGTGCGCGTGCGTATAAGTTAATAAAAATTACCTCTTTAAATTGTACCTCTGATGGTGAATCAATTTGTGCTCCTACAGATCGACCACACGTCTGATAGCGCACAATCTTTCACTTTTTCGTTCAGAAAATACCTTACAGGTGAATCTCCAAGCACTTTCAAGCACAATACAATACTTAACCAGCGCTCTCATGGTGCGAAAGGCATAATAAGATCTTAAGCAAGCAAACTTGCCGCAAATGCTATATTTTTTTAACGGGAGACTATAGTGGCAATTTATTCACCGCCTCGCGTTCACCCGCTGGCTCGACCAAAACGAGTGACGTCCCGGTGGGCAGTTTAAAGGCTGGAAAATATTTTTTGGGGGTGGCATTGGAATAATATTTCCCGGCATTACGTGCCTTTATGTAACAATTCGTGACGCCAGCAAGTTGTTCACGTGATGTTAGGCAGAATTGGGCTCTCAAATGGTCCTTATGCAAGCAACATCTGTTTGTAAACTGTCTCCTACCATGCTTGCCTGCCCCGCCATAGTGGTCTAGTGGCTAAGGTACTCGGCTGCTGACCCGCAGGTCGCAGGATCAAATCCCGGCTGTGGCGGCTGCATTTCCGATGGAGGCGAAATGTTGTAGGCCCGTGTACTCAGATTTGGGTGCACGTTAAAGAACCCCAGGTGGTCAAAATTTCGGAGCCCTCCACTGCGGTGTCTCTCATAATCATATGGTGGTTTTGGGACGTTAAACTCCACAAATCAATCAATTACCGTGCTTTGCCATGCATTCACATGCCTATTCGTTTTTGCCACGCAATACTATCATGCACGATGATGTGATTTCACTTCAATTTTCAAGTTTGCAAGTACGCAAGTGGAAATAGCAGTGCGTAGACAAGAAGTGTCACAGCCTGACTGGCACCACGCTCAGTGCAAACAATCCCGTGATTTATGAAGAATCAATGGCGATTACGACATAGCCCTCGTAGAAAGGGTAGTGAATGCGATAAAAAAAAACTACTGTCTGCACTTTGAAATCGGTGAGGTTAACGGCAATTTAACGGAGGACTAAACTACAATAATCAAGCAAGAAAAGTGCAAGAGACAGCAAGTAAATAAAGAAAGTACTCTAACACTGCAAAAAGTAGATCCTAAGGCTTGCTAACGGGCGTAAAACGACTCAAAGTGCACGGGTTGACGAGTTCTGGTGGCGAATGGCACCATCGATAGTTTGTATAACCTCGTAGTCTAGAACTCCGATACGCCGACACCTCCTTGTGTGGCCAAAAGTATCGCGGATGAGCTTCTCGCGAAGTCCCCGACGTACTTGAGGCGGCAGTGCCGACTATCCAGTTTTGTAAACATTACACATGTACTCCTGTAATACAGCCGTAACGTCCCTGTAACGTCAACTGTAGTTAAGTGCCATGCAATGAAGTCACTTGATGTATATAGCAGTGTAGCAATGTTCAGTGTTCATCCAGGGTCTATTTAAATAGGTCCTCGAAGGCTCAGGTGAAAAGTGGTTCAGAAGGTATTGCCATCGACATCAGCGTGGGAGTTATGGAAGCTGCGACTGCAGCGCAACTATGTGTGGAGGGAACAAACACTAATAGTAAAAAAAAAAACAAAGCTTGATTCGAAGTCGGAGAATAGATTTTACGAATGAGATTTCTTTTCCCCAACAATATTATCTACGTGTAACAATCAAAGAAGTTCTGACGGTGTTTGTAATTGAGAAAATCTTTTTTTTTTTGGCGCCATCGGCCCACGCTATTATTACTCGGTGCAACCCTTGCATTTCATGAGTATTCATGACAAGGGCAGCTCGCAAATTCGTCTCCGAAGATGCCCGCCTCGTACAGTACTCTGGCGCCTGCTTGCATTCTCTGTTGTGCACGAAATTGTTAGTTGCGTTTGATCGTTGGTGTGCGTGTTCAGTGCAGCGTCTAACGGGCCGCGGAGCGATGCGAATTACATTTAAAGTCGAGTTTTTCCGTTGGTAGTCCATCTCCACTCGTTCTCCGGGCAGATATGGGTGCACGTTAAAGAACCCAGGTGGTCGAAACTTCCGGAGCCCTCCACTACAACGACTCTCATAATCATGAGTGGTTTTGGAACGTTAAACCCCACATATCAATCAATCGTTCGCCGGGCGCGCTGAGCCACTTAGATATTTTAAGTGCGAATGCACTTTATAAGCGAGCCTTACTCCTCCGTCCTGCGGTGTGCCTCTTCCTCTCCCCTAGCAACGGCGCGAGGAGTGGAGAGGGGCGTCTGTAGCAATGACGCAGCGACGTCACACACCACGTGATTGCGCGCGTTCCGCCCGCGCAGCCACGACTTGCTCGAGATCGGCAAGTCGTCATAGGTATGGATCCATCACAGGCATCAACCTCGACTGTGATACATTCAACAACGAGTGCAACGCAATCGAATGTGAGCATAGCACACGTCGTTGAAAATGTCGCACCAGTTGAAGACAAGGCAGCGCGACGAAGGGCCCGTGATGCCAAGCGCAAGAGGGTGAAGCGGGCTGAGGACATAAACATCATTATAGGGCGAATTCACTCTCACATATACGCGTAAACTCACCAAGATTTCCCGAGAGGGTCTAACGGTTCCTGGCAATCGCAATGTGATCCCACGGGGGAGTTTACGTTAATTCACTGGCGAAGGCGAATGCCAACGGATTTTAACTTTACTCCCCCTCATAGCATAACCCCGTGCATTCGAACTTTACCATGTTCTTCCTCGGGGAAATGCTTGGAGTTTTTCTCTATTTGACGTTCGTCGCCATTGGCTGTGGGTGTGACGTAGTGCACAATGATGCATGCGTGCTTAGCCGGCTGAGAGCCCCACCCTTCTGTCATATATCTAACCACTACCTCATAAACACTAATGGAGTCTAACAGCCTAAAACCCCCATACGAATATAAGAGACGTCGTAGTGAAGGGCTCTCAAATTTCGACCACCTGAGTTCTTTAACGCGCTCTTAAATTTAAGCACGCGGACATTGAGGATTTTCGTCTCCATCGAAAATACCACGCCATGGCCGGTATCGATCCGTGACCTGCGGGTCAGCAGCTCAGTGCACCTTAGCCAGTAGAGCACCGCGGCGGGTCTAGGCAACCACCTTAAGCGTTCCTTCTTTGATGCACCACACCCACAGCTTCGCTTCAGGACCTCTTCTGGAAACGTGCTGGTTGGATTGGGAAGACAGACATCACGCCAGCTTCGAGGCCTGCGTGAAGCAATTGCAAAGGCTCCCGTATTAGTGTACAACCAGAATAAGAAAAAAACAACAATCACCTCTATTTGCTGCCAGCCAATATTTAACTGTTGCCGTGATTATTGGAAATGGCACCCGTCGGCTTACTCATCCCGTTCTCTGATAAAGACGCCACAGATATACGCTCAAGTTAAGAAAGAAATACTTCTCATGGCTATTTGTGTGCCCCACAATTGAATCCTAGGTATCATACGGCCGTGGCTTTTCACTGCGAGATCCTGAGATGAATGGCGAGTTAACTGTCAGCGAGTTAACCATCATGGCAGGCCAAGCTGCACTCGTGTAAGAATCGTCGCTATCACTGCCTGTTGCATTATTAGGAAAAGACGTAGCAAATAACACGTTGCTTCAGGGCCGCATGGGTGTACTGAGATTCTGATCCTTCTTTCGGTAATAGGTTTTTAGGGTGTTTAGTTTTCATTATTTAGATCGTTCTCATTTGATTTTACCTCGTAGGTTTTTATATTGTTCCCTATTGCCCACTCCCAGTGCTAGATAGCGAACAGGATGCTCATATATGGTTAACCTCCCGACCTTCATCTTCAGATACCACACACACACACACACACACACACACACACACACAAACACACACACAACACACACCACATTTCCTTTCTGTTCACTTGTGTCAAAAAAATAATCAGTTGTACGTCAGTGTTTGGTCGCGTCTGTGTGCTTTTTTTTACTGTTGCACTCTTCACCAGCAAAGATACCTCACAAACAAGGCCAAGCATCCTCTCTACTCTTGCGCAGTTCAAAGGTTCCGTAGGGTGAGGAGGTTACCTAATGTCATGGAGACAAAATGAAATCTTGCCCACAACTATTCGGCATTTGGTCAATATATTAAAGCGTTCTTCACTGCATTGATGTTGCGAGATCTTGTTGAATGTAGGTAGAGTTCACAGTAGCTAGCCTAGGAGGGAAAGAAGAGGCCAGCTGCTATAAGCCCATATTACACTGATGGCAAGGTTTTGTGCAGGAAAAAAACGTCTAAATTAGCTTAGCCAACAAGTTAATCAACTCTATCTCCATGCCATTTTCGCACTAATGTAATGAGAAGCTGCCATGGTTAACCCGATATCACTTAGCTGTGGTTGCCAGAAATCTCGCAAGCTCTTTGTGAGAAAGGTCAGCCCACCCCACTAGAAAGAAGGGGCTCCACAGGCGCACTTCATCTAGAAAAGTAATAGAAGACAACGGTATTGTAATAGCATTAGCTGTTTATTGTACCCTTTTTGTTTTCTTTAAACCGTGTAGCTATTTTCCTAAGATCTTCGCATCGGACGAAACATCCAGGGAAACTGCAAGAGTGACGTCAAGGCAGCCTCCAATCATCGGCATATAGCGGAAAGGATGGCACTTGCAACCAGTGCCGCAGTTGGTAGCGTTGTCACTTCTGGGTCGGCACTGAGAGAGAAAGCAAACTGTTTTGTTTTGGCAAGTCTAGTTGCAGGACGCCTCGTATTTTCTTGTAATATGCGTTGGGTTATTGGGGAAGCTATTAGCCGAACAGTGAAGACAGCTATCCGCCGGAGAAAACCACGGCGATAGCATTCGCCACAGCTGTACCCCACACGACCTCGTCGGGCCTCGCTACAGTGACGCCACACCAAGTCGCGCATGCGCCGAAGCCCCACCGCCGCCAAGTTGACAGAGGAGCAGCGGCGCCTGGCCTGTTTACCGCGGCCGCTGAGGGGCAGTGATATTCCGTGCGGGAAACTTTCCCTTTTTCGAAGAATTCTTGCCTGTAATTTTAAGCCAATGTGGGAAAGGGAATCTTTGTGATATTGCCGGCAATTTCAGGAATGATTATATTCTCCTACAACGACCGATAATTAGCAGTCACGGTGGGCCTTCGTCAGCTCTAATCGGTTCTGGCGCATGCACTACGTACGCACAGCCTTTGAGATTCGTTTCCGGTATTTACGCGGAGCGATTTCTAGTTCACTATAAGTGGTGTTAGACTTGAAGCCCCCAATGTGGAGTGTTCTGACAGTATAGGATTCATTAGGTTATGCTTTTGTTCTGCGGCAGTGGACAGGCTAGCCATGGTTTCTAAAGTTGCAAGTGCGTGAGTCACTTGTAATTATTATATGTGTGTGCATGGATGGGGGTGGAAATCAGTACGTGGTGCCGGGATTTCGGCTGGAAATTTCCTGAACGTTTGCATGAAACATTGCCCGAAATAGGGAATTTTCATGCCCCTGAATGGCAATTCTTCTACGTCGTACGGAACATCACTGCTGCGGTAGCATCAAGTGAAGCCGCGCATGCAGCGCGCAGCAGCTCTGTGAAGATCACAACGTTCTTAATGTCGGTGTCACCTAGCAACCGTTTATAAAATAAAGAAGCCTTCTCTGGCCATGAAATACTTGAAACAATGGAGCTGTTTGATCTGACGGTCATCGTAACCATTTAAGAAAAGCTTATTTTAAGCAGAGCTCGTACTTCACCACAACCTGTGTTGGTCCAAGCCAAGTTTGACCCTAGCAACAGCAATTGCCAAGTTCGAGCCGAGCATCGATATAGGACCATTGAAGTTCAAACCTAGCTTCTCCCAAGTTCTAATCTAGTACCAATAAAAGAACGCCACTTGATCGACCAGCTTCACTTTCCGGGTTTCTCGTGACACGTGCAAGCTCCTCCACCTTGTTTTTATCCTAAATAGCAGCAAGATGCACTTCAGTTGAGCCAATAGCCATGCGTCATATTTTTATTTATTCCACACTTAATATTCACAATTTAGTTATGTTTTTCACTATATCTTTTAACAAAAATGAGGAAGGAATGACGTGTGTTTTTTCCTCGAAGACCGCCCTCATGTTGAATCAGGCCAGCCGCTGCAGTGCGAGATTTGCAGGACCTTTTTTTTTATATGGGTCAAAATTCAGAGCACGCGGCACCTGGTGCAGACAATTACTGACAACACTTCTAATTAATTTGCGGCTCAATGAGCGCCAACAAATTAATCACGATACAAAACTATTTACAGCAAGATTTCGGTCCATCTGCCCTGTCAAGTTGGGCCAATACTGGTCGCTATATCAGAATTAAAAGGCAAATCAAAGCCGCATAATTTAAGCCGCAAGGAAGTAATTACTATGTGTCCTATGTATGTATCTACCATTAGTAGAAAGCAACGCACTAATGTTGCCCGATGATACTTGTGCAAACATTTTTTTTTTGTAAATGCAGCCCTTTATGTATTTGAATTAAATTCAGCGTGCTAAGGAATACGCACTGGAAAACTTATTTTTTTTTGTCGTGTCAGTGAATGCAAGCCAATGTGCATGTTGTGGGCTGACAAAGTGGGTATTCCCTTTCTAAGTACGTAAAGTAGGGCTAGAGATAGTATAGGCAAACCTTAGAAAACAAAAATGGTAGCACTGATATCATCGATGCAGATGAAGCAGCCCCCTCTGCTTCTTATTTTATGATTTAACGTTGTTGTTGAGCACAAACACTTGCCTAGCGGATCGTGAGGTTGACACCGCGGCACCAATTCAATCTACACGCGTCTGCATAGTGCTTTACTGCAGAAGTTACCACTCAAATGATGGCTTACCATTACTGTGTTGACTGTCGCATAATCTTACCAATCGCTGTTTTGTGTTTTTTGTTTTAATTGTTGAGGTTCTAACGTCCTGAGATCACTATAAGCTCATGAGAGACGCCATTGCGGAAGGCTTCAAAAATTTCAACCATCTGGCGTTTTTAACGTGCTCCTTAGTCTAAGCACCCAGGCGTCAAGCATTTTCGCTTCCTCTGAAAACATGGCCGCCACTGTTGTTTTCTCTCTCCCTCTCTCTCCCTCTCTCTCTCTCTCTCTCTCTTTGCTTACAGGCGTATAAGCACAAGCCAGCGAAAAAAAGCCTGTAGCAAACACAGACTAAAATATCACGGAACCTTTGAGGAAACAAGATGATTGAATCAGTAGAAACGAACAAGAACACGTCAATCACAATATTTGTTAAAAAAAAGACTGACTGATTGTGCACGAACGACAGGGGGGCCACAAACAGCTGATTCTACATGCCGGCCCATGATTTTCACCCATTGTGAGATATTTCGGATTTATTCGTATGTCTTTTCAGCACACACTGCGTTTGGCAGTAAGTTAAAGAAATAGTGGCAATTATAAGTTCATGACATGAGGTGCCCTTCCGCGGACCCAAGAACGAAGCTAGCTGTTCTTCCTGAACAGCGCTTAGACACTAAGCGTGATGATTTCCGCGTAATTAAAAAACTATTGGATGCTCTGTCGACAACTCAGTTTACTCTAATGCGAAAAAGATAAGCCGGTGATCTTTATCACGTTCGCATAAAAGCTCTGTGGTAATGCTGCTGTTATTATGTGAGAAAGACAAAACTGCAGTACAAAAGGCCTCCTTGGTACCTTTGGTGCCGAAGGGAGGATTATGCCGGTATTGCAAAGGCACATAGTCTATACGAATGCTATAGCTAGTAGCACAAAACAACTTATCCTCTATATTATGCAGATCGGTATCTTTCCAGAGTGTACGGAACTTCAGAATTTAAAGCATAATTTTGCTGGTACCCTGCATCGAACGGCAGTTTATTTCGATCGTGATAGATTTACATGACTCACGAAAGTGGAATCTCGGTAAAACGAGAAGGCACGCCCACACTCCTTATGTGTGGAACCACATTGCACGACAGTGCAGATGCCCCAAATTTGTAAAATATTCCTTTACTTAGCCATGCAAATTATTGACAGCTCTTGCTAGTGATATAGTAAGTTTGGGAAATTGCCTATTTGTCAAATGGTATATAAGCATATGCCATTATGATATTTTTCTACATAGCCATAGAAGGCACTTACAAATGAAAGGCACTTCTTGTGGTCCCAGATGGAGCCCCTGCGTAAAATAACGCATAAAGTGTCCAAGTTTATTAAGCAAGGTAAGCTTGCAAGATCACAACTAATTATTACAGGATAGTTTGTTGAATTCCATAAGGAAACTTATATCGTAATCCATGGGTCTGTCGCAGCTTCTGTGACGGTGCTTGGAATCCAGGTACGAAATATATGTTTTAAATTGGTGCTTCAAATAAGTGATCTTTCAAATACTCCGCATGGCAATATTCCTTGCAGATCTTTTTTAATGAAAATCTGGAGTTATTTGTGTACTTCTCCAGATTATTGTGTGCTTAGATAGAGTGACAGTCATTTGTAAAATGCCTATTTTTTGCAAATGAAACCATAGATAGCAGAAACATAGTCGAATAAAATCAGCAAGCCTAATCTTGTGTGATCAACTTTCCATGGTTGCACTGAAATATATACGTGCCACAAAATATCACCGAAAGGTCACAATTTTCTTATGCATGCAGTTTTTCTGTATAATATCTCGACACACCACATGATTTAATACTCAAATGCTTTGCAAAGCATTATATGAAACGCTTCAACTTTGCGAAAGAATTGTTACTGCTGTGCTGAAATCTATGGGAGCTATTCTACGAGAGCAAATAGGTTGAGTTGCCCCGCTGCGGTGGTCTAGTAGCTAAGGTACTCGGCTGCTGACCCGCAGGTCGCGGGATGGAATCCCGGCTGCGGCGGCTGCATTTTTGATGGCGGCGGAAATGTTGTAGGCCCGTGTGCTCATATTGGGTGCACGTTAAAGAACCCCAGGTGGTCACAATTTCCGGAGCCCTCCACTACAGCCTTTCTCATAATCATATGGTGGTTTTGGGACGTTAAACTCCACATATCAATGAATTAGATTGAGTTGGTAAAAATTTGATGATATGAGAAAGAATATAGATTTTTTGCGAAAAAATGTAGTATTATGTAAGCTGCAGGTAGAACTAACATTATTTATGACACACAGTCGCAACAATATTGACAGAAAACAGAGATACATATGTAAACGCCACGTAACAAACAGGAACCTCAAAGGCAAATCAGAGCACAGAGTGCCGTGAGAGATGCTCCTGAATATCTTAATTTAGGTATCACGAAGGTTAACATGATGATCGCTGCAGCCCTTCATATGTCGATCAGCTCAACATATGCAACTCCCTATTTATTGTTCAGTAAAGTACTACTCTATTGCCAACTGACCAAAGCAGTTAGGACAAAAGCACAAAAGCATGGTCGTTGAGCTTGTGAGCGGCTATCACAATTCGTTTAAAACATTTGCCTCGGTGTTTCTTGAATGCTTATTCAATATATAATATATATATATAATATATATAATATATATATAATTAATATATAATATATATATATATATATATGTGAAGAACCACACGAGAACGGTGTGGTGGAATGGTAGAGAAGGAAGAAGACGAAGACAAATAAATGGTTCATCGAACAGCCATCACGCCTCCTGCGTCACTCTAGTCGACAGGATCTACCGTGGCCTTCATCATGGCCACATCCAAGAAAGTCATCAACATCCCGAAGTACTCGGGAGCATCTACGGACGTTCCCTTTGACAAGTGGCTCCGACTCTTTGAGGTGAGGACTGCGGCCGCAGCATGGACGGAGCGAGACAAGCTGTGCTACTTCTCCGATTACCTTGAAGGTGAGGCTTTCCGATGGTTTCTCACCGAGGTTTTAGACACAGACGCGTCTTGGGAGAGCTTATGTGAATGCATGAAGGGACGCTTTACGAGCGGCGTCGCGGATCCTTTTCGCCAATTCATTCATTGCCGGTTGCGAACAGGCCAGAGCTTGCAGGAATACTATAATGAAAAAATGTCTCTCGGACGCCTCGCCGACTTAAAGGACACGCACCTTATATCAGGGCTCATCGACGGCCTTCCTGCGCATATGGAGATGGCGCTTGCTGGGCTTACCTCGTCTACACCAGAGGCATGGCTTACAGCTGCACTTCGTGTAGAGTCACCATGCAGAGAATGAAGTTGCATTGCTTTCCACCAGCTCGAAATACACAGATTAATGTAACAAGTGACAGAACTAGTCAGCGTCCACGTAATTACCCAGTACAAACACCCGTGCGTGAGTGCAAACACTGCGCGATGGATGGCTTACCCGACAGATGCACTGGCATAATGAATGTCCACGACGCGCAAGCATTTCCGCCCTCTCCACCAACCAGGGAAACGAGGAGGGCGACCCAGAGTTCATGTAATTCAGTTTGATGCCCTCATTAACGGGTACCCTGTCAGCGCTACACTTGATACCGTAGCTACGATTACCTGTATCAACGAAGCAGTGCTGAAGGCACTTCACCTGCGAATAATGAGGAATTCATGCATCTCAGTTCAACAAGTCACATCATCTACCAAAACTTTGGGTCGCGTTAATCTAAAGGTACAGATAGGAAAAGTGACAAGAGAAATTCAGGCTCATGCTCTACAAGGCATGAAGAGCAACTTACTTCTTGGCTTGGATAGTGCTTGCATCTTTGACTTGTCGCTGGACCTTGACACTATGACTCTACGCCAAGGGAAAGACATCCTCCATTCTCGTACACAGAACCAAACCATGGTTAACAAGGGCGCGTCTTTGCAAGGTGTTGAAGTTTGTGATGTACTACATCTAAATAAAACGCAACAATTGGCATTGAAGCAGCTTATCCACAAGTACGATGACATTTTTTCCAAGTCACAGACAGACATTGGGTGCATCAACGGCGAAATGCATCGCATTCATCTCATCAACAATGTTCACATTCGTAGAGCTCCCTATCGATGCTCAGAAACTGACAGCGTTGAAATGGACAGACAGATCAACGAGCTTCTCAAGCAAGGTGTCATACGACTATCTACCTCCCCATACGCTGCGCCAGCACTTCTGGCAGAGAAAAAAGGGGAAGGACGCACGCGCTTCTGCATCGACTACCGCAAGCTGAACGAATTGACGGTGCCTGATTATCAGCCCATTCCTCGCATCGATGACGTTCTCGATTTTCTGGGGAAATCTACGTACTTCTCGACATTATACATAACGTCAGGTTACTGGCACGTGAAGATTCACCCTGATGACATTCCGAAAACGGCGTTTGTCACACGTACCGGTCACTACGAGTGGCTCGTCATGCCTTTTGGCCTTCGGAATGCTCCGGCCACCTTCGAACGGGCTGTCAAATTCGTATTGGCAAAACACCGTTTGCAGAACGTCACGAATTACTTCGATGACATTGTTGTCTACTCTGACACGTTTCCAGACCATCTGAGGCATCTAGAGGGCGTTTTGAAAGCTTTCAAAAGCGAAGGCGTCAAGCTTAAGTTAAAGAAATGTCAATTCGCTCGAACCTCCATTGAGTACCTGGGACACAAGGTTTCGCATGGCACCGTCACTCCAAAGCAAAGCAACGTGGACGCAATCCTACGGTTTCCGACACAATCACGCCCTAAAGAGTTGCCGCGTTTTCTCGGCACTGTCAATGTTTACCGACGATACATCGATCACTTCAGTCAAATCGCTCACCACTGACGCGCCTGCTCAGTAAAGACGTCACCTGGAACTGGGATGCGGAGTGTGAACTGGCTTTCACTCAGCTCAAGAAATGCGTGACGGAAGAGCCAACCTTACATCTACGATGCCACTAAGCCTTGTGTGCTATACTGCGATGCATCCAACAGAGGTATCGGCGCCGTCTTGAAGCAGGCTGATGATGAAGGTAGAGAGCACCCAATCGCATACCATTCACGGAAGTTACTAAAACACGAAATTAATTACGCCATCACAGAACTCGAATGTTTGGCAATTATTGACGCCATCGATAAATGGCACTGCTATCTACACGGGAAACCTTTCACTGTGATCACAGATCACGCAGCGTTGCAATGGCTTAAAAGCATCAAGAATCCCCGAGGCCAACTTTTCCGGTGGTTCTTGAAACTCTCCATGTACGACGTGAACATCAAACACCAAAAGGGCATTGACAACATTGAAGATGATGCACTATCTCGAAGCCCGGTAGTTAAACTCCTCCTATCTGCTGAGCAACTGCGAGAGCATGACAACGACAAACCACCCGGAAAGCATACCATTGAGAACGGACTGAGTATAGTGACACGCTGGGGAATACGAAAAGTCTATGTGCCTTTTGCCCTCCAGTCTTCTTTCTCCAAAAGCTCATGACGCTTTCGGTCATGTCGGGTAAAGAAGACGCTGCGGCTTCTCTCTCTACAGTACTATTGGCCCGACATCATCACCGACGTGAGCGAGTACATACGCCACTGCGATACCTGCCAGCGCTGCAAGAGACCGAAGAACAAACGATTTGGTTCGTTGGAGTCTTTGCCACCAGCGGAACAACCGTTTGATCTTCTGGCCATGGACACTATCGGAGATTTCGGCAACTACGGCTCATCCAAAAGATTCATTCACTTAGCCGTTGATCATGCCACCCGTAATGTCGGGGCTTTCGCACACAAAATGAGACTTGCGACGCATACATCTCTTGCCTGAAGAGTATCTTCGCTGCTGGAAAGCCGCGGAAGTTCCTTTCCAACAGCGGCACAGGATTCACTGCCGGCAAATTCAAGCAGTTCCTCAAGCACAACAATATTCATCAGCTTTTAACAAGCTCACAGCGCCCGCAGTGTAATGGCCTAAACGAGCGCACTAATCAGACGATCGTTACTCGCCTCCGATGCAAGATCAACGATGAACCCCGAAAATCGTGGCCGCGTCTCCTCTCGGACGTTGTCGACGAGTACAATAGAACGCCTCACGAAGTCACAGGCTACCCACCCTGCTTTCTTATGTATGGCACACCATCGTATCCCTATCTTCTTCCAGGCGTTACCGAAAATCTGCAGGAAGCTCGTACAAACGCAGTCCGCAATTCAGTAGCATATCACGAGAAAAACAAGATCATATATGACAAGAAGTTCCTTCCATTAGAGCTTCAAGTGGGAGACTTTGTTCTATATGAAACACTCTGGCACCCGAGCCGCGGCAAACTCAGCGCAATCATGGAAGGACCCTATACTATCATACGCAAGATTTCATCAGTTAACTACGAGATCGACCGCAGCGTGGCTCCACTCGGTCGCCAGACTGACATCGTTCATGTCGGGAGACTTAAACGATATCATCCGCCCCTGCACCTACGTCTCTCTCGGGGAGGGGGAAGCGTGTGACGAACCACACGAGAACGGAGTGGTGGTTGGTAGAGAAGGAAGAAGACGAAGACAAATAAATGGTTCATCGAACAGCCATCACGCCTCCTGCGTCACATATATATATATATATATATATATATATATATTATATATATATATATATATATGTGTGTGTGTGTGTGGTGTGTGTGTGTGTGTGTGTGTGTGTGTGTGTGTGTGTGTGTGTGTGTGTGTTTGTGTGTATGTGTGTGTGTGTGAGAGAGAGAGAAGATTGATTGATTGATTGACTGATATGTGGGGTTTAACGTCCCAAAACCACCGTATGATTATGAGAGACGCCGAGAGAGAGAGAAAGAGACGCCTGTACTGTAGCTTACGTAAAAGTAAGTAGTGAACAATTGCGGGAGAACAGCGTAAAGTAATTTAGCAATATCGAGAACGAAAGAAAGCATTACAGTTGCCGCTATTAATGCATGATTCAGTGATGAAGAAAAAACGCGTGCAAGAGGACAGCCTTTGACACGCGTTGTTTCCTTTTTAATAAACAGGGTGGTGGGATACCACACTCAAAGTGTTGTGATGCTGCCTTTGAGTATTCGATGTTAAGCCAGGTAATAAGAAATGGTATGACATAAAAATTTAGGTTTATTTAAGCGGACCTCTTCATGCCAGGGGAATGAACAGTTTTTGCGATGACCGTCAGATGTGGCAATGAGATGTACCATCACGATTTCCATCAATGGGGTTCAGATATTCAGCAATACAGACATTTCCTTTTATATTGGGCCTTTAAATTGAGGCACAGGTGCCATATTTGGGAAACGAATGCTACTTCTTACGCAGATCAGGGCGCCCCGCCGTGGTGGTCTAGTGGCTAAGGTACTCGGCTACTGACCCGCAGGTCGCGGGTTCAATTCCCGGCTGCGGTGGCTGCATTTCCGATGGAGGCGGAAATGTTGTAGGCCCGTGTGCTCAGATTTGAGCGCACGTTAAAGAACCCCAGGTGGTCAAAATTTCCGAAGCCCTCCACTACGGCGTCTCTCATAGTCATATGGTGGTTTTGGGACGTTAACGCCACAAATCAATACGCAGATCAGGTCTGAAATTTCCTTGAAACTTCCCCAGCAGCCGTCTATAACATAACTATATTCGTCTCATATTTTTTTTATTTGCTCAAAAATGGCGTTCGTGTACTTCATTGATACGATCGCAATCAGTCATTTTTTTTTGGTGGGGAACTTCTTTCTGAATTGGTTTCAAGATATCAGTCATTTTGTAGATCAGCATTCCTCAGACAGGAGGAAAATCTACTCTTTACGTATCTCGTGTAAAATATCTGAGAAAGGCTTTCTATCAAATGTCAGCGTTGGATGACATATAGTTCAAGCTACACATCTTGACGTGTTCATGAAACAAACAAGTTGATACTATTTCTTTATCGTTGAAAACGTCTTGTAATACCCAATTTTCTAGGCACTTTATTACAATTAGCGATAAAGGGATGGGTGGGAACGAGATACTTACATAACAATCGTCATAATGCTGAAAAGCAATACCAATTGCAGTGCCTTCATTGTTCCTTCAGAGTAATCTCAGGTATGTTGAAACAGAGCCACGCATAGTCCCTTCACGATGGAGATTTCGGCTTTGCTGTTTTATACGCTTGCAGCCTGTTGTGCAGAACTTAAGAGTCAGACTTGAAACTTTTATTCGGTTCTTGAAAGCAAGCTTCTGGAAAATTTTATGGTAGCCTTTCAAACCAAGCTGCTCTATGTCAAAAAGAATGACGGCGTTTTTCAGAGATGACGTGTCCTCAAGAGCCTCTTTAGAATAGCACAAGACAGATGGCCATAGAAACCTATAAATAACGCTGCGGTGGTATTTAGCAGAGACCAGAGGGAGCAAATTTACGCAACCACGCAAAATTCAGCTTGTTACGGACAACAAGTACGACGCTACTCGAATGTCTAAATACTGTACAGTGAGTGTTGTTTTAAGTTTAAAATCATTTTTATCAGGGAGAAAACAACGTTGATGTGTTTTTTACATTTTAATTTCATAATGAAAGCACTATAAGTGTCTCTAAAATTCAAAAAGTTGCTCACAAAAAATCAGTTTCTAGCACACGGGCAAGCGCTATGTACAGCTTATAGAGCAAAGTATTCTGTAGTAGTGCACTTTCAACACGATAGTCCTACGGCGCCTGTGTCTTTAAAATGCCTTTTCGATGTTGGCGGCGTTAGTAGGGGTGCGAAATTGCCTGACAAAAAGGCAGTTCAAGACAAAATTCAATTCAACTGAAAGTGCCAATCAGTACACTTGGGCATTAGGGTCTACCTGATGCCCTAATTGAAAATAGTGTTATCACGTTCACTTGATAGCAGCTCTTTTTCATAATTTTTCCCTGTCTGCTGAAATATTTTAGTCCCCAACCCTGCAAAGATTAGCATTCAAGTGATATATAGACGCCGGGAAAAAATCTGTTTTTCTAATAGCCTCTCTCTCTCTCTCTCTCGGATTAACTCAGGTATTCTCTAGGGCAGTCAAGTAGTCAACCTAAGATCTATGCTACTGCTTTAAAGCTGCGTCAAGAAAAAGTCCATGAGGGCATCATGTCTTGAAAGCAGATTCACTGGCAGGTGTTAATACGAAAAATCACGTAGAAAATGACACTTTGGAGCTGCCAACACATAGCAAGGATCCGAGAAAAGGCATCATTGCCATTGACAGTGACAAAATCAACATTGTTGTACTTTCACTGGCGCTTAATGACCATTACACTGAGATGTCTTGTCTTCTTAGATAAGGCTTCAATTAGAAGGCAATTATCTCGGGCGCAATTAGCCGTACCATGATCAGTATAAAGCTAAACTGTATTCATGATTAGCAAAACACAAATGGTCATCATATTGCTAAGGGCTAAAATTAGCATGGTTTTAGTCAGCGTACTCAAGATTTACGGCGCGTTATTTAGAGTAGCAAAGTGGCAAGTTGCGCTAGTTAGATTACGTTCATAATTGAAAATTTTCTTCAAGCGCACTGAAGGCGGACGGACAGCAAACGCTGTCCTTGTCAGCCTCTTCTGTCCGTCCGTCTTTTGTGCGCTTCAACAAAATTTTCAAATATTTAGAGTAGTTTAGTTCACTCATTACCTAGCCTGCTTTAGTTAACCCTGTTCTAG